TTTAGCTTTCACAACGAAACACACAGCGTCTTCACGACATGGCGGTGGCGGCAACAATACTACAGCGAGAATAAAAGTTACTCCTTTCTTTGCGTGAACATTTGGGCGGCGTTAGGCAAATCTTCCCACATCATGACGTAGATATGTGGGGGCGTGTTAGAACGAGCCGTTTTAGTTAGGCGTGGCTGACTCTTAACTTTTATAAAGAATATCTCTTTGGATTTGAGACTTTAGTCTTTGCAACTTTACAGATCTTCTTTATGCACCATGAGCTTGTAACACTCCAAAGAGAAAGGAAAAATTGAAATCGCATCATATGACCCCTTTAAAATGTAATTTCTTCCTGTGATGGCAAAGCTAAATTTTCTGTGTCACATGATCCAATTGTGTTGCTTAATATTTTTGTGGAAACTACAAGCATACTTTTTCAGGATTCTTTGATGATTATTAATTTTAAAAGTACAGCATTAATTTGAAATAAAAATCTTTTGTAATATTAAAAATATTTTTACTGTCACTTTTGATCAATACATTCTTGAGGAAAAAAGTATTCATCTAAAAAACAAAACACCTTTTTTAAGAGTAGTGTAAGTGACAGAGTTCTACTTTATACTTGCATAATACCTAGATCTGTTTTCACCAACCAACATAAAAAAAGTTCACCATCAGTTGGTATTTCCTGCATATCCACAGTACTGTATGTAACCACCCCATTTTACCTATGCATGATGGTTGCTGTGCAAAACAACATATTTTTTCTTTAAAAATGCCAATATTTTAGCATTATTATGAATTCAATAACAGTTTAGATGCTAAGCCTATTTTAAGAGGCTCTGACAGTAACCGTGCAGCCAACTTTGGAATGAAACTACAGCTGCAACGTCACCTGTGTGCTATTTTTCCCCAACAATTTCCTAAATGGAAAGATTGAAAATGAGAAAAGAACAAGTGTTTACTCACAACGGCCGCTGCCCCGATAGGACTAAAGCAGTGGAATTACAGCATTGTATATGTGGTAAAAATATCTATTAAGGCGGTGCAAATCAATCACATAAGCAGGTTGAAGACTTGTACATTTATTGAGTAGTAACAAATCTGCACACAGATACACTCTAGCATGCAAAGGCAATACACCCATACAAACGGTTCAACGTGGACTCATACTGTTACTGCCTGAATGATCACACACTCTTTCATGACATTAGAGCAATAAAACAAAGAACCAGCATCACTGTGTATCAAATAGTAACAATACATTTAGTTACGTTCACTTTCAAACAAACAATACTGCATGAAGCCACAAGAATAAGTTTGACTCTCTAATTTAGTTTAAGTATACATTACGTACAATGAAAATATATCAAGTACCGCGAGTGCCAAGATAACAAATCCAAATTCTATATATTAATTTCAGTACTTTCTAAATACGCTAAGCAGATACTATATATTGTTAGAAAAACATCATAAATGTCTGCGCATTACGTTCTCAACCGATTCATCTCTTTAGTATTGCATACATGTACATTCTTCAAATCAAAGGGCTGTTTCATAAGGAAGAATGAGGGACTTAAAATGAAAATGTTTTGAGTTAATCTAGCTTTATGAAACAGTCCACTGAATTGCTAAAAGTTCAGGCAAGATCTTAAAAAAAATGTTTTCACAGGATCAATAAAGACCCAAGTCAGTGTTTTTATCTAGCAGAATAAAGTACCCAGCTAACAAAAACAGCTTCTAAGAATGTTTTGCTAATGCTAACATTAAATTATAAAAACTTTTTGAATGTTCTCTAAATGTTCAATATATCCATTTAAAAAAAAATGTTTTAAAAGTTAAGTCAACATTCTGTTTTATAATTTGTAAACACTATGGAAACATTACTTTTGGATGTTCAAACAAGTAGTAATGTTTAAAAATGTTCCACGAAGATCCAACTACAATGCTTCAGGAAATAAACACTCCATGAAGAATGTTTTTGTGCTGATGTTTTGAGAACACAATTAAAGACCAAATAACTGAATGAACATTCTAGTAACGCCACTGGAATTTTCTAAGAATGCTTGAATGTTAAAGTTCTGAGAATGTTTCCTGTTAGCTGGGTAACATGGAAAAAACATTGAACTAGCACTGCTGCTAATCACTGGCAGTAAACTTCAGTTTTGAATACGTAATTCTGAAAGATACATTTCCATGTAAACACAAATACACAACAAATAGTGTGTGAATAGACATCACAAGCAATGGCAGTGCTATGACTCTAGTGCAGTGTTTCCCAACCTTTTTTTAGTCGCGGCACCCTTTGGAAATTTTAACAAATTTGTGGCACCCTACAAAATTTATTGTCACAATACTTGAATTTCTAACTTCGATATGATACTTTGAAAAGTATAGATATTCGGTACAGCAGGGAAGAACTGCAGAATATACGGTCATACAGATATTTTTAATATTATTACATTTTTCATCCATCAATGGTGGCAATCAGTAGGCTAATTTCTAATGAAGAGACCAAATTATATGACAGATTTTCATGTAGGCTTTTATTCATATGTAAACATTGTTTAATTAACATTATAACTAGCTATCTCACAAAGTTTTGCTTACTTAAGAGTATTTTTGATTTTACAGTGGGGTAATTTTGTTGCAGTAGCACGAGAAAGCTTGATTTCAAACTTTGAATTGAATAAAAATATTACAAGTAAGCAGTCAGTAATAAAATAAGAACAAATAAAGAAATTACTAATGATAGCACAAATAAAAAATAACAACAGGCCTACAAATGAAATAAACTGCTTTTTAGTTTTTCAGGTAGGTCCAACAGTAGGGCTATTAAGAGAATGTTTTTTTTTTTTATACCAATTATCCAAATAATGTTTAGACCTAGAAAGCTATTATTATCAGAACAAGTGAGCATAACATAGCGGTTAGCAGATCAATGAATGAGAGGGCAGCGTTACCAGAGTTGCCCATATACCACACCATGTTACAGCACAGTAGGGCTATTGCAAACAGAAACAATACTGTAGGCCTACTACATAGATGTTTCCTGTCGGCTCGATTTTAGAGTGGACTTTGTTGTTCCGATGAGCATGAACAGGGCCGTGGCTGGGGTTTGCGGGGCCCCGGTGCAGGTTGTACCAGTGGGCCCTGTTTGAAATGGTTTAATTTGTATGTTCATTCTATTTATTTATTTGTGCTATTTACACAATGTTTACGTTTTTTTCAAGTTTGTAGGTGTCCAGGTACAGAAACCGAATAATTAAATGTAAAATAGCACTGCATAGTCTTCAATGTAAAGATTAAATATACAGTCAAACCAAAATGTATTCAGACACCTTCAACATCTTTGCTCAGTCTGTGGTGTAAAAAGGTCGCATTAGCAATTAAAGAAAAAACACATAAGCAAAACATGGCCAGGTCAAAGTGTCTGAATAATTTTTGGTCCCAAATTTTTCTTTTATCAATTTCACTGGTAGTCCAAAGTATTAAGAATTTTTGAGTATAATATGTCACAGATCACTTTATTTTGCTATCCTCACTTAAATAAATAAACTATAGTGTCCTGCACCCACTAGTAAAAAAATATCAAAAATTATATCTGGTGTCTGAATAATTTTTGGTTCGACTGTGGATTAATCCTTGTTAAAACTACTAAGTAATTCAGTCAAGTGCAGTGAGTGATTTTCTTTTTTTCATTTTCTTGGATTAAAGGGATAGTTCACCCAAAAATGAAAATGTGATGTTTATCTGCTTACCCCTAGGGCATCCAAGATGTAGGTGACTTTGTTTCTTCAGTAGAACACAAAGATTTTGAACTCAAACCGTTGCAGTCTGTCAGTCGGGATGCCCTGGGGGTAAGCAGATAAACATCAAATTTTCATTTTTGGGTGAACTATCCCTTTAAAATTACAGCAGCTAGTAAATTAGGCGAGGTCACTTTAAGAGACAATGCATCCATTATAATGATACACATCCGATTTCTTTCTCCACTGTTTACTTTCACTTAAGACATAACCGACAGCTTTTTCGAGGATACTCTCCAGGATGGGTATTTTGACATAATTTTGTATGTATTTGTCGGTACAAGAGCAAGAAGAGGCAAATTCGGTGTTCAAGCGCTTTGAGACGCGTCTCTCTGCGTGCGCGCTGTGCGCACAGAACACCGCACGCGGGTGCTGAATTGGGCTCTTTCACATCTTTTTCTGTTTGCATGTTTAAACTGCGATTTGTGTTTGTTCGTTCAGGTGCAGGAGGACGCGAAGGAGAGCTCGGTTCGGTGTTGCTGTCCGTGAGACGCGGCTCTCTGCGTGCGAGTACTCAGTGGAGTTTTTCCGCGTCTTGTGTTTGAATGCTTTAAACTCTTTTGAATGTTTAAATTGGCAAGGCTTAAAAACAAGGCTTTCGTGACGAGGAGCAGCAGTGTCCCGTCATCTGTCCTAAGCGTCTATTTAGGCTGGCCTCAACCAGTCGGTTGAGATCGCCGAGGGCCCCCCCTTAGCCGTGGGCCCCTATAATTGTCACCACCTTTCACCCCACTAGCGACGGCCCTGAGCATGAATGGTATATGAGTGGAGCGCTCGACTGAGCGGAGCGCACACGCATAGAGTGGGATAATACTCAGAGCGTAACACCACGTGAAAGTGAAACTTGAGCGGTGAACAAATTTTCAGCAGCCGGAATTTCGGTGCATCTTTAATTATTTGCGACATCAGAAATGGATATTATATAATAAGATGCTTTTTTGAACATTTTAGCAATTTAAAATATTAAAAAAGAATTGGGAAGGTTGGGAAACACTGCTCTAGTGTTCCACCACATTCACTACAATTATTACGTGACATGAGAAAACACACACTTACATTAAGGATATGTCATTTTGCAGCATATTTCTTGATTTATCAATCATTACGATATTGTAATCATAAATATATATTTAATATAGTATACATTTATATAACCAGTACTGTATATGAATATACAAAATACTCATTTACAAACATCGACACTTTCACAATGAACAAAAATATCCCCTTATAACAGCAGTTTTTATACTAAAGACTGCCAAAAACAGTACATGTACGTTTATTCTTAAATGTGTGCAACACACAATGTCAGCACACGACTGGTCAAGGAAAATCTTTCCATAACCCCCTGCTTTGGTACGTCAATAACTATTCATAATAGTGATAAACCTACAGATAACTAATAAACCTACCAAGATTAAATGACAAACAGTGTGCAGAGGTAGGCACATTGTTCTCTCTCTGTGATAAATCACACTAACATATCTGTACATGTTACAAAAAAGTTAAACTGTGCGACATCTAATAGTCGAACAAGCACCGAAACAGGTTTTTTAATCACATGCTTATGTATTTGATCTGCTTATTGATTATTCGTTAAATACACAGAACTGGTTTTAAAACACAGAACAAGGGGCTTAAAAGAAAAAGGACCCAGGGCCAAAAAAAGGAAAGATTTCTAGTAAAACAGTTGTATTTAACAGAAATGTAGTACCTGATATCATAACTCTTGATGCTCTGAAAGGTGTCTTGGTTACATTGCAGCATCTTTGTTTGTTGTAAAGCCATACAAAACTGTTTTAATAAAACACTTAACTTATAACACAGGCTCAACAGTTTTTGAACAACAAAGAAAGCTAATCTATTATGCCCTATAGCATTAATTAAAACATTTCACAAACTATTCAATTTTCTGTTTCCAGAAAAAGAGTAAAAATTCAAACACAGCCTTGGCTGTACGTCAAAGTGTTGTGGTCTTATCGGATCTCAAGATGAGTCTGTGAGAGATGCTTTCAGCTGGAAACAGTTAAATAAGTCACACACTGTTGCATAGACATCTTTGTATTTCTTATCAGAGAACAGCGAAAGGGTGTCCATGTCAACAATATGCTTAAAAAATGTAAGATATTAAAAAAGGAAAAATGTAAATCTAGTCCAATTATAATTTAGCTATGGAAAAAATAAAATTAAACATTTTAAAATCATAATACTGAAAGATATGTAATTTCATGAAGGTAAAGTATTTTGTTTTTTAAAGCCACTGGATCCATTGTTATGTAACATGTTACACTTGAGAGCTACAAACAAATGTCCTTGATTGAAAGTCATGGACGGATTTCTACATATCCTCTTGATAGAATTGCATTTAATGTACTATGTTAAGCCACAGTGCAAATACCACATTAAAAAATGAATACACTAACTATCAGGAATTGTGTAACGATTCAGTTGTGCATTATAAGGAAAGAGACTAGATTTAACTCATTAAAAGTCATCTTGGTCCATACCCTTACAATTCATTCACTGTCCCTTTATGATTGGGCCCACCTGTGCGTATCCTTTCCTGAGACAAGGACTATGATTGTAAGAAGGTTATTATGGAGCTGATGAAATCCAAAGGCTTGTCAGCATGAATCCAGTGACTGGCATCTGGGATGTACTGGATATCGGCACACGGAAAGAGCCTCTGGATTTCAGGGTAATCTTCCGAGCTAAGAAAATAACAAGGGGTCCATAGCAAGAAAACAGATGTATGCTTAAAGCTGCAATCCGTAAATTTTGCCTCTTTGTCGCCATCTCTGTTTGAAAACCTGGAATTGCAGCTGTGTGCGGAATTATCTAGCTTGCGTGGGTTGTGAGTCGGCGCGGCTCCAACACATGAATCTAGCGAAAACCTACCCGTACCACTCAAATTAGAAAACATTATTATAAACTAACCATTGGGAATCGGGCTAAAGTAAGGCGATAGTTTTGAACACTGGCTGGTTATGTACTTGTTCAAATATTGATTTCGGATCATTTTTAACCAAAAAAAGTTACGAACTGCAGCTTTAAATAAACATGCATTTAAGACATTCAAATATTCACAAGTAATAGAAAGAGATTCAGTTAGCACATGTGAACGTACAAGTAGTGGTTAAATTTACCTTATATAGGCTGAACTACTGCCACCCAAGAAAAGAGTTGGACCCTCATAGGTGTTATTAAAATCAGGAAAACCCATGATGTCTTCTAGGTGGTTTGAGATGGCTTCCAGGTTAATCCTCCAGCCATAGTGACCATTTTGCTCCTCCAGGTTAGTAAGGAGGAACTGACGCACTGAACGCTCCTGCAAGCAACATAAATGTGCGTGATTTATTCTATAATTGCAATAAAAACACCACAAACGATAAAAACATTAACTGATAAAAGTCCAAACTCTTCTAGTTAATTAATACGGTTACCTTAACTATCTTCCTGAGCTGGTCTTCAGCCAGTCTTCGTGCTGTTGAACGTGGGATATTACTGGCTATCTTCACCTCTTTCATTGCCTGAATGTAGGCATGGAAACTGGTGTGGGCTGAAGTCGGAGAGGGACTAATGTCCACAACCACCAAACGTTCCACTAAACTAAGCTGCATTAGATAGACAAAATAATAAAAAAGTAATACAATTTTGTAATGTAAAGCTGAAATTTGAATGCATCCTTGCTTCATAAAAGTAAAACAACAAAAACTTACTGACCCCTCTAACTTTTGAACTGTATTATATTTTTATAAAGACTTGTATACTACCAAGATCTATTTTCATGGTATTTTTATCTATAACCCAAACTAACCTTGTCTTGTCATGAAAATGTAAAATTATAAGATACTTCTTATTTGACTTCTTGAACTTGGCACACAGTACTGAGAGGGTTGACCATTTCTTACATGTTTCTGCATGGTGGCTGTACCACATGATTTTGATTTGGCAGAAAAAAAATCCAAAACTGCTTAATTTCTAAAACATAATACTATATTAAATAACAACGCCATACTACTTAAATGAGTCTTTTTATCTTCATTGTGATATGGCAATTGTATCACCATGCAGTTTTTGATTTCATGCCCCTTAAAAATATCAGAATTAATTTTAATTCATACATTTAAAATCATCCTCATAAAAGGAATGCACTCAAGTCACTGTATGCATGAATTGCATTTTCATGTCATTGACCCTTAGCCTAACAGAAGACCTAAAAGATGTTTCAATATGCTACATACAGTACAAGCATGAAATAAATTATACAGCATGTAATACCTGTGACAAAGCTGTTGTCATTGCAACCTTGCCGCCCATGCTGTGTCCAATCAGGACACACTTCCCAATGTGCAGCTGTCCAAGCAGATGCGTCAGATCGTGAGTCATTGCTTCGTAGGTCAAGACAGGACTGTGTGGGCTTTTGCCATGGTTGCGAGCATCTACTGTCAGCACCTAACTAGACAAAATACAGTCAGGATACTCGCACAGACTCTTCTGACGCCCACAGCACCTCTAAACCACTGGAGAAACCGGAGGCATACCTTCCTGCCAGTCCGCTGAACCAGGGACTTGGCTATGGAGTGAAAGTTTGATTTGCTCCCAAATAAACCATGAAGAAACACCAATGGCGTGCTGTCTCCTTTCCCATCAAACACATCGTAGGTCAAATTTACAGGGCTAAGAGAGCGCAAAGCAAACAAAGATGAAGACTATCACACAATCAAAACAATGACAATTATGACAGCTTGCTTTCAGAAGAGATCAGGATTTAATAACACGTTATTTTAAGAAAAGATATGTGTTGACTACATACATGGGCCTTGTTTATAGAATCATAAGAATAGAGTTCTAGCTAATGTATACCTTTATTTATGTGACCATCACCTGTAAATAGCCAAAACAGAACATAACGCATGTTATATAATTAGATTTTTTGCTTTGGTTTGACTCTTTTTCCCCCCTCTTAATAACATACCTACACCTGACTAATTTACTAATGCGGTACAGAATGCATGGATATCTACTTTAAAAAAAATAAAATTAATGAACTTTTTAATGTAGCAGCCCTCTCTCACACATGTAAGTTAGTCCTGTGTAATTAACAGTATTTGAACCGGAACATTAAAGGTGCAACACCTGTCACTGCCAGCACGGTCCAGTCGCGAGACTCCGCTGCAAAAATCCCGAAATCCCGTTACAGATAAACAAGACGACGGGCCGCAATACACTCCCCTAGTTAAAATACGGCACAGGGCACTCATGGCAAAATTTGACATGCTAAAACCTGTGTCCGGACTTCATTCGACCGGGGTTGGCCACTTTAAAGGTCGTGATGTTGTTTAGCTAACACAAGGGAAACCGCACCACAGTGTTGCCAGATCTCTCTGGAAAAATAAAATAAACATAAACGTATAATTGAAACGTGTACAAAACATACACTAAATACTTATCAGAAGTTAAAATGTATTTCCAGTTCTTTTGCAAAAACAATTATTTGTAAATGTGTCACATACACAACTAGCCAGCTAAATCAATCGCTCTTTTGCACTCACATCTAACGTTATAAGTTACTAATACGCATACACATCATTCGGGTAGTTTGAGCACTAGTAATCCTAAAAACGTGACTCTATTCACATGAAATTGTATGATAAATTTCTGCACAGTCTAATCTAATTGTCATACTCTTCCAATTTCATATTAAGAAATTCTTTTAACCCAAAAAGCAAATTGTGCTCCCTTCGAACTGGTTTTCTTTAAAATACAAATCTTTGTAATCCCAGGCTATCTGTAATCAGAAGCACATTTATAACTGGAATATAATTTAATTTCCTTCATCTGTGTTCATAAACACATAATCCTTTATGGATTACAATCCGCCATCAAAATTATACATTTAATTATTCTGGCTGCTGTGAGAAAAGGCTTTAAACGATCGGCCACCTGCAGGATCCTCACATGCGATAGCCTAGTAGCCGGGACAACTTCTTTATGTTTACAGACGTGACGTAATGACGCAGTGCCATGCTCGAATTTCCCGCGAAAACCTACCCGTACCACTCAAATTAGAAAACATTATTATAAACTAACCATTGGGAATCGGGCTAAAGTAAGGCGATAGTTTTGAACACTGGCTGGTTATGTACTTGTTCAAATATTGATTTCGGATCATTTTTAACCAAAAAAAGTTACGAACTGCAGCTTTAAATAAACATGCATTTAAGACATTCAAATATTCACAAGTAATAGAAAGAGATTCAGTTAGCACATGTGAACGTACAAGTAGTGGTTAAATTTACCTTATATAGGCTGAACTACTGCCACCCAAGAAAAGAGTTGGACCCTCATAGGTGTTATTAAAATCAGGAAAACCCATGATGTCTTCTAGGTGGTTTGAGATGGCTTCCAGGTTAATCCTCCAGCCATAGTGACCATTTTGCTCCTCCAGGTTAGTAAGGAGGAACTGACGCACTGAACGCTCCTGCAAGCAACATAAATGTGCGTGATTTATTCTATAATTGCAATAAAAACACCACAAACGATAAAAACATTAACTGATAAAAGTCCAAACTCTTCTAGTTAATTAATACGGTTACCTTAACTATCTTCCTGAGCTGGTCTTCAGCCAGTCTTCGTGCTGTTGAACGTGGGATATTACTGGCTATCTTCACCTCTTTCATTGCCTGAATGTAGGCATGGAAACTGGTGTGGGCTGAAGTCGGAGAGGGACTAATGTCCACAACCACCAAACGTTCCACTAAACTAAGCTGCATTAGATAGACAAAATAATAAAAAAGTAATACAATTTTGTAATGTAAAGCTGAAATTTGAATGCATCCTTGCTTCATAAAAGTAAAACAACAAAAACTTACTGACCCCTCTAACTTTTGAACTGTATTATATTTTTATAAAGACTTGTATACTACCAAGATCTATTTTCATGGTATTTTTATCTATAACCCAAACTAACCTTGTCTTGTCATGAAAATGTAAAATTATAAGATACTTCTTATTTGACTTCTTGAACTTGGCACACAGTACTGAGAGGGTTGACCATTTCTTACATGTTTCTGCATGGTGGCTGTACCACATGATTTTGATTTGGCAGAAAAAAAATCCAAAACTGCTTAATTTCTAAAACATAATACTATATTAAATAACAACGCCATACTACTTAAATGAGTCTTTTTATCTTCATTGTGATATGGCAATTGTATCACCATGCAGTTTTTGATTTCATGCCCCTTAAAAATATCAGAATTAATTTTAATTCATACATTTAAAATCATCCTCATAAAAGGAATGCACTCAAGTCACTGTATGCATGAATTGCATTTTCATGTCATTGACCCTTAGCCTAACAGAAGACCTAAAAGATGTTTCAATATGCTACATACAGTACAAGCATGAAATAAATTATACAGCATGTAATACCTGTGACAAAGCTGTTGTCATTGCAACCTTGCCGCCCATGCTGTGTCCAATCAGGACACACTTCCCAATGTGCAGCTGTCCAAGCAGATGCGTCAGATCGTGAGTCATTGCTTCGTAGGTCAAGACAGGACTGTGTGGGCTTTTGCCATGGTTGCGAGCATCTACTGTCAGCACCTAACTAGACAAAATACAGTCAGGACACTCGCACAGACTCTTTTGACGCCCACAGCACCTCTAAACCACTGGAGAAACCGGAGGCATACCTTCCTGCCAGTCCGCTGAACCAGGGACTTGGCTATGGAGTGAAAGTTTGATTTGCTCCCAAATAAACCATGAAGAAACACCAATGGCGTGCTGTCTCCTTTCCCATCAAACACATCGTAGGTCAAATTTACAGGGCTAAGAGAGCGCAAAGCAAACAAAGATGAAGACTATCACACAATCAAAACAATGACAATTATGACAGCTTGCTTTCAGAAGAGATCAGGATTTAATAACACGTTATTTTAAGAAAAGATATGTGTTGACTACATACATGGGCCTTGTTTATAGAATCATAAGAATAGAGTTCTAGCTAATGTATACCTTTATTTATGTGACCATCACCTGTAAATAGCCAAAACAGAACATAACGCATGTTATATAATTAGATTTTTTGCTTTGGTTTGACTCTTTTTTCCCCCCTCTTAATAACATACCTACACCTGACTAATTTACTAATGCGGTACAGAATGCATGGATATCTACTTTAAAAAAAATAAAATTAATGAACTTTTTAATGTAGCAGCCCTCTCTCACACATGTAAGTTAGTCCTGTGTAATTAACAGTATTTGAACCGGAACATTAAAGGTGCAACACCTGTCACTGCCAGCACGGTCCAGTCGCGAGACTCCGCTGCAAAAATCCCGAAATCCCGTTACAGATAAACAAGACGACGGGCCGCAATACACTCCCCTAGTTAAAATACGGCACAGGGCACTCATGGCAAAATTTGACATGCTAAAACCTGTGTCCGGACTTCATTCGACCGGGGTTGGCCACTTTAAAGGTCGTGATGTTGTTTAGCTAACACAAGGGAAACCGCACCACAGTGTTGCCAGATCTCTCTGGAAAAATAAAATAAACATAAACGTATAATTGAAACGTGTACAAAACATACACTAAATACTTATCAGAAGTTAAAATGTATTTCCAGTTCTTTTGCAAAAACAATTATTTGTAAATGTGTCACATACACAACTAGCCAGCTAAATCAATCGCTCTTTTGCACTCACATCTAACGTTATAAGTTACTAATACGCATACACATCATTCGGGTAGTTTGAGCACTAGTAATCCTAAAAACGTGACTCTATTCACATGAAATTGTATGATATATGTTTAATATGACATTTATAAGCAACTTAGTGGGAAAAACAACAACAACCTGAAGAGGCATAAAATAAACGGTCATGGCAACACCGCAGAACGACAACCCAGTTCGTGATGTCACTACGTCGTGCGTCTATATGCCTGCAAAAATAGTGAAATTTCACACACCACAACTTTGGAAATAATATTTAGTGTATGACTACGCACGTACACGAGAGACAATCAATTAAAGTAGGGCAAGATAAAACAAAGAGAGGAAAATATATTTGGATAAATCAGTAAGCACGCTTATGGACCAGTATGACCAGATAGTGGCGCCACAGACCACGACAACAGCCTTTATAATTGACCGTTTGCTTTCATGCACTGCAAAGAAGAGAACTAATCGTTAAGAAAAGCTAAAAAATTTAAATGGAACGATTTTTGTTAAGCTTACATTAGGATAAGCCCTATACATATTAACCCTTTTTGCTGAAAATTCTTTATCTAATTTGGTTCCAAGCCTACAAAAATAGCTTATTTCTTATTATTTCTCATTATCTAATAATAATAATAATAATAATAATTGTTATTATGATTATTATTAAGATCCTTTGTTGTTGTCTTTGTTGTTGTTGTTGTTGTTGTTGTTGTTGTTGTTGTTGTTGTTGTTGTTGTTGATGATGATGATGATGGTGGTGGTGTATACTGCGTGAGCAAAGTCAGTAATTTTTAGTGCAATGGGAAAGAAAATCCTTGGGTCAAAATAACCAGAACACAACATGAGGGTTAATTCAATGAATAATTAGTATCTTAATTCAGATTTTACTTTTAATATCAAGACATTTATTATTAAACAATATAATTTTAAATCAAACTTTATCACTTAAATATTTTCAGTGATAAATGGCAATGTCAAAACACCTCTGCCTAAGCAAATGAGAACTGAAGTTATGCATTTTAAGTTTATCAGCTGACATCAGTTCTTTATATAAATGTTGCAAAGGCCATTTGAATGTAGACTGTGAAATGGATGTGAAAGATTTTCATATCATCGTCACAAACAAGCTCCCACCAACGTTCTTAATAACAAAACTAGCACAATCCTTCCAATACAATGACCTTTAAATTAGACCTGACAATATTTAATACAATTTAACTTTGCCCCACAAACAAAGAAGACATGTTTTGACATGCAGAAAGCCAAATTAAGGGGAAGTCTACACACAATGGCATGACTAAATGGACACAAGACAAAATATTCCACAGCAAATAATAGGCAGTAGAAATCAAAAGAAGAAGTATGACAGTATTATCAATAAGATCCTCAAATAAAAACATTATGGGAAGTTTAAAGACCATTTAGGCCTATTACACTGAGTACTTTAAAACATATTTTGTTGGGAACATTTAATGGTTTGTATGTAGTTTGTATACCTTTCTTGGTTCAAAGTAACCAATAATTAAACATGTTTTCCCACATTTACAGGACATTATTTTTTACGGTAAAATTCCGGCAACCACAGCTGCCGGTTTTTTACCGTAAATTTTACTGACTTTTTTTTACAGTGTACTGTAGTTACACCCTTGTTTCATCAGGGAGGGTTATTTAGGGTTAACTGCTTTCATGTCCCTCTCTTATTTAAGACAACTTAAGAGGGCCAACTGCTTGTTTATGTGCATCTAAAAAGAAAGTGACAGAGTGAGAGCTTCAGCCTCCTCCATGTCTCCTGCTGCCATAGGCAACCCAGCAGTGGGGATAAAGCAGCTAATGATCACAGTCACCATGGTGAGGGCACATGCAGAAGGGACACACACACACACAATGAGAAAAAATAAGAAAAAAGAACATGTTAGCACTGCTGAATAATACACTTTATGCATATCAATCTCTAGAAATGGTTATATAAGAATGTACTGTCAAATGATTAATCGTGATTAATTGCATCCAAAATAAAAGTTGTTGTTTACATTATATATGTATGTGTGCTGTGCATATTTATTATGTATATATAAATACACACACATACGTGTATATATATTTCAGAAAAATAGGTTGTTTATATATTAAATATATTTATTTAAAATATAAATTATATGAATATAGATATAGAGATGTAAATACATGTAAATATTTTCAAAATATATATTGTATGTGTGTGTATTTATGTATACATAATAAATATACATGAACACACACATACATTATGCAAACAAAAACTTTTATTTTGTATGCGATTAATCACGATTAATCATTTGACAGCATTATGTGTTTTTTACTGAACAGTGTAATTTAGAGAAGTCACCATGAACATGAAGAAAATAAAAAACTAGAACGAAGATTTATGTATGGTATATGCTCTGTTATTATATTAATCAAGAGATCATACTTACAACAACTCCTCCTTTAAGACCTTACCAGTATTTAGCCTACTTTTCATACTGAGAAACATATTTGTCCCACACTCTAAGAAAAGACTGAAAAATAGGGCGCACTATACAGTAATATACATGAAGGAACTTTCCGTATTGATTTTTTACAGGTGTTTTCCTCGTATTTTGAATTACACATTGCATTGTGGTCATGTCAGTAAATGTCAGTAAAATGTAAGTAAACTACTGGCAGAAAATTACCTGTACCCTTCCTGTATTCCTACTGATTTTTTCCCCATACAGTGCATACAATTATCAGTCAACTTAGGTATTGGTACTTGCTTTAATGTAAATATTCACTGATTTAAAAAAAAATATCCAGTTAAGAACTCTGTAGAATAATTTTTCTAACAGACATATTCAAATTAAATTATGTATTTTGTAACTCTCTAAAGCAATCATTATATATATATTCAAAGAGGATTAATCACATTCTATTAATTATATACATTTTATATAATGTGCTAAATCATTTAAAAATGAATTAATACAATTTTAGATGCATATACTGTAAGCATAATTCTCTCAGCCTGCAGTGTTGATTATCTCAGGAATGTGAAGTGGTTTCCTCCCCTCATGGGAGAGCGTTACAGAAAAGCGGATGTAGCAATTTTACCTCATTCTTTCCAGTCAACAGACTGAGACTTTTAACAAAAGGAATGATTTGCAGTCTATATGCAACAGGATCTATCTTGCCAAATAAAAAAGTAACCATAAAATTGATAATCAGAGGACAAATTTCACTCCTGGCATTTTCTTCGCCTTCTTCTCCCTAATCAATGCAGTATTATGTTTGATTACAGCTATTATTCACTCAGTGTAAACTAAAGGAGACAGGTTCAAAGGTTAAGGTCAGATATGCAACGGAAATATTTCTTTATCATAATATTTACAATTATATTTTAAGATAAACACTCCAAAACACATCTATATATATGTTCCATAAAGGTGGTGACGTGATGTCATACAACTCATTCTGTCCCTTTGAGAAAATTAACTACATTATTAGTGTATAATGGGTGCTGCAGGGTGATGTTGAGCCACACAAAATTACCTTTGGTTGAAGGTTAGATGCAATGCAGTAGCTTAGAATATGTGTTCAGTCGCTTAGTTCAGTTTTACACAAATGTAGCCAACATAAAAACACTGTATACTATGGATATTGCTGGCTGTGACAGATTGCTTCAGAGTTGAGATGTGTTCCCCAGTTGTAAGCTGCTTTGGATAAAAGCATCTGCAATATCACATAAAATACATATATAAAATGCAATGAAAACTATTTTTTTCCTCTCATTATGTGCAGTTACTGTGTAGTTTTTAAATATAACATTGAATTCTCACAAAAAAAAGGAACATTTACTTTGAAAACAGCACATTTTTGGATACTGGATACATCCACTTGCAAACTCCTCCCCCCACCCCCCTTTTCTTCTTCTTTCTTCTTACTGCTTCTTCCTCTTCTTGTGTTTATGAGCCTATTTGAAGGCAAAAAATGTATGATATTATAATATGATATAATATATTGCTCTGTAACCAGTTTTATTACTGATAAATGTTTGCTCACAGTCATATGACAATATGCAGTTTTGTGAATGAATTGACTTTATTTTCTGTTTTGCAAATTAACAAAGGATGACGGGAACAGTAATGTTTTTATTAAGTATTACACTTAGCTAATAGTTTAATAAAGTTATAGCAGGATCTTGGAAACGGCACGGATTTTCCTGGAGATATCTAACTGAAGTATATGGAACTATGTTACAAAGCACATTACTGTTGACTGTTCTAGTTCACCTGCAGTGTAGAAATGAAACCACGTGACCGAAACCATAGCAGGTGAGGAGATATATTTGCTTATGTTTCTCGAGACTGCTTGGCGGAAGTCTGCTTAAATGGCATAGGGTCAGTTCTTCTCAGTCATTTCCCTTTGAACCCCCATACAAAGACATAGCAGCAACATATTTATTTGGTGGGACAAATTAGACTTTTGCGTCAAATTTGGGCTCTTTGTAGGCTACATTTTAAATGTAGCCTATTTAAATGTGTATTGTTGTGTTCTCTGTCTCATATTCATTCCCAGCCAGGTGTCAAATAAAACAATCATTCGCGAAAACGGGACCCAAGATCACGTGATCATAATCTGCCAATTCCCTACTTCTGCAGTGACCTTCCAATGTTCAGTTTCCGTGAACGTCTGCTCTTTCCTTTGATAAAACAGGGCAGAAGGAAGCAAGCAGGTCAGGTTTCTGGCGCTGCATTCATTTTATAGTATTTATGCTTACCTAATAAATCGCATTTCA